ACCAAATCCTTGTAAGAAGAACCCACAGTGAACGGCACACGACATCGTCTTGAGACCCTCAAATCTGTCTTGGTATTTAACCACATGAGCTTGTACGGGGCTGGATGAGGTTCGGTGAATAGGACGAGCTTAGAAACAGCTTCTTCAGAGATGATGTTTGCACAACAACCTGAATCAATAAGGAAACGACAAACTTTACCACGAATCGTACAAGAACTCCGAAAAATATTTGAACGTAACCATGGCTCATCTACAACCTGAGGTGCGAGACAAGATCGACGAAAAACCAACGCTAGTCCCGTGTCGCCAGTGACACGTTCCTCAATGAGCTGTTCTTCCTCTTCATTGTAATCATCATACACAGCTTCCTCCTCCAAAAACAAACCACGACGACTTAATTTGGGACAATTTGCTTGTCGATGGCCATGTTCTCCACAACCAAAACACTTAAAAGCAGATGGGCGAGAGGATCTAGAGCTGCCAATACCGTCACTGCTTTCTATAGTTTTTGTAGTGCCGCTAACATCAATTGATGAATCAGAAGATTTCGCAGAGTCAACGGGAGTAGGTTTATGTCGTGTACTTGAAGAATTCCAATTAGAAGAACCGCGAATATTCTGTTCAATGAGGAGTGCACGTTGGTGAGCTTCAGACACGGTTGTCGGATTAAACTGCATAAGCACACTTTGTATTTGTTGCCGAAGACCACCAATGAAACGCGAAACAAGCTGGTCCCCTTTTTCTGTTAATGAATTGCGAGCCAACATAGCGAAAAATTCAGATGCATAATCATCAACAGATCGTACTCCTTGACGCAAATTCTGAAAACGTGTGTATATGGTTCGGGCATAATTGTAGGGAAGAAAAGTCTTCCTCATCAGTCTCTTCATCTTTGCCCAAGAGGTCACACGTTCTTTTCCTTCACGAGCTCGAGTTTCTTTGGTCTGCTGCCACCAAGCAGAGGCTCTTCCTCGCAAACGAGTAGCCACAAGACGAACACGCTGCTCATCAGGAACGTCTTTAAAATCAAGTATTTCTTCGATGTTGTTAAGCCAATCAAGGAAATCTTCAGGTTGCAGGCTCCCAGAAAATTCAGGCAAATCAAGCTTGAAACCAGAATCCCAACGCCGATTGTCATCACGTGGTACTTCGATCACATCGCGACGTTGTGGGTCACGCATCTGTGCAAACGGGTTGGTGTCGTCAACACCATCTTCTTCTTCGGAATCTTCTTCTCGGCGAGGCAACACAGGAGGTCTGTTATGAGCTTGAATAAGGGTGCGGGCCGCTGTTTCAACAGAGCTTCGTAACACTTCTCGCATCCCCATCTGAAATTCCTCGAACATCTCTCTCATAGCTTCTAACTGTTCGGCGTGTTGCTGTTGAAGAGATTTTTTTGGAGCCATAACTGGGATCGTTTGTCTCTGATACCAACTAATGCAGGGAGTAATACAAGAAGTCTCAACTAATCAAGAGATTGTTGAACAAGACTCGTATGCTTAGAGCTCTAGATTTCTAAAGAGAAAAGCAAGAGATCAAAGACTTGTTTGAAGAGAAGAATTCTCAACAGTTTTATTAATTCTCAAAAGCTGCAGTACAAAGACATAGCTTAATCGCTTAAATACAAGAGAGGGCAAAGCCGCTAGCCCTAGATTCAATAATGCTAAACTTCTAAAACGAATCTAAATGAAAAGGAAATACCATAGCAAAGAGAAAATTGAATAAAGCTAACATAAAAGGAAAAACGTGTAGAAGAAGCTTCTAGTATGCTGCATCACAATCTCTCCCTTAGAGCCTTCAGCAAATTGTTCGACTCCATCTTCAGTGAAGAGGGCGCTGAACACTCCCATGAAAAAGTTTTGTGTTTCGATCGCCTTCTCGTAGCCACTTTTCACTACAAGAAAAGTAGGCATTGATAACACATTACGATAATTCGATTTTTGTAAATGCTACTAAAAATGGTTTGTCGGATTGACTTACTTTATAGTAACATTTTAGAAATGATAAATTAGAAAACGACTAAGCGGAAAAGTAAAAACGAATTTTCGGGTCTAAAATTTGGTAACATATACTCCCCCCTTTCTCTTTTTCTAAAGTCAAAACAATTTTTTATATCTTTTTTTTTAATATAAACAATTCATTTTTTATTTTACAAATTATAAATAAAACTGTATGATTTTGTTGGCAAAAAAAAAATCTTTTATGCTTCTAACCTAGATTTATTTATCTCTCCTTTTTCATTATTTGTCGACAATTAGAAACCTTAACTCCTCTTATCTTCTCTTTAACATCTTCTTCACATCTTCTTCTCCCTCCCTTCTCGTCGAGAAACTGATAGTTGGATTTTAGCTAGTTCTCAATTATCCTATAGCACTATCATGTCATTGTAGTACAATAGGTTATCAATCCATTTTAGGCGAGTACTAACAATCAAGATTTGATCAGAAGTAAGTCAAGCCAAGCATAAACATCTTTTGATATCTAATAGTCCTAAGTGATCATGCAGAAAACAGAAAAACTAACAGGATTCAATAGGCTACTCGATCGCACAGTCTGTCTCCAAACACTTGGTGTGATCGAGTATGAGGTGAAAAACAGACAGAAAATCAACAAAGTACTCGATCGCATAGTCTGTTGCTAGACAATGGGTGTGATCGAGTGACAGCTGAAAACAGACAGAAATGTGAATAAAACTTAGCAACATGCAATAAAACAAGCAAAGAACAGGAATGTAAACAGAGAAATCAGATGGATGAAAAATTCCTAAGGATGGGGTAATCGAATAGAATGATCTTCTTAGCCTATCAGGTGGTTAACAAACTCAATTAAGCTATCCGTAGAAAACATGTTCAATAACAGATCAATCTACTTCCGTAATAGAAACCCTCAAGCAAAGCTAGTCCTAGACTCAATCACCATTGACGAAAACTAACCAAGCATGCATTAAGAATCAACATGTTAAAGCCAAAAGGCACTCTGTAACCAATACCTTGGGACAAAGACACAAATCTCTAGAATTAGTGGTTCAGGCATTTCATCAAACACCTTTTAGGTGTGGAAATGCCTGGGCTCAAATTCTAGTTGATCAGAGAAGAATTAACATTAAGTACTTCTAGTGATGTTAAATGGGTATGTTGCTAAAAAAATAGCCCATTTAGACTCATTTATAGAAAAATGCCTGATTAAGCCCATTTATTAAATAGGTTTTCTCTCAAATAAATGGGTATCCAATTAAACCCGTTTATTTTTATTTTTCTTAACTCTTGTTTGTCAAACCGACGTCATTTACGTTTAGGGTTTCACAATCAAAGCTCAAAATCAGATTTGTCTATCTTCTTCACATGAGACATGATCCCAAGCTCGAATTCGATCTTGTCCTCAAAATAATGAGACACGATCTTTAGGAGTTGAGAGTTCAAGAAACGTGCCATGAAATAATGATATTCGTAAGTTTTTTTTTTTTTTTATCATTTTCTTAAGTTTTTTAATCTTTTGCTATTCATCAGATTGAAGTCTGATGATATGTCGTAAGTCTTATATTATTTTCTTAACTCTTTTATCTTTTGTTATTCTGCAGATTGAAGATTTATGGATCACTCATCATTTGCTCTTATTTTTTGTTTTGTTAAATGTTATTGAAATCTATGTTTTAGTCAATTATAATTATTTCAGATTTAGCTAACGTTGATGTGTTGTTGTTATTTATCTATCATGAATTCATAAATTAGTTGGAATTGGTTCCCATCATACGTAGACAAAATAAATAAAAGGCAATATCCCACTTAAATGGGTTTAAATGGGTTTAAATGGGTCCAAATGGGTGCAAATGGGTTTACCAAATTTAAATGGGCAGGGTTAAATGGGGTTCAAATTTAAATGGGTTGAGTTTAAATGGGGTGGGTAAACCCATGATAACATCACTAAGTACTACTAATCTAGAAAGGATTTAAACAAATCTAAACTTAACCACCTGACAGATCAAAGATTCCACCTTAATCTAACCCATCCTTAAGATCCCTAATCACTACTTAAGAAACATGCTCAAGAACACAAACCTAGAAATCTCCAAAAACTTCATAACTTACAGATCAAGATGAGATAAATAACTTTGTAGACGAAATTAAGTGCAAAAACTTAAAGGATTGAGAGTAATTTCGATTACAAATTTTTGGAAATAAAATTGTTCAGCGAATAAAGCTTAGGTTCTCTGGAAAACAAAAAGAGATCTATTTATAGCAAATACTAGGAAATCGTAAAACACAAAACGACAAAAATCAAAGGCGGTTCTAGGACATACTCGACCCATGTGATCGAGTAACTAGGTCGAGTATGCGGTAAAATAAAGGTGGCGCCTTTATGACTCTTGATCGGTTGTGCAGGGATCAAGTGGCTTGTGAATGGAGTGATCGAGTAATGGCTTCCTCCTTCTCTTCCTTGTGCTCAAGTTGTCTGGTTGAGTGCGGATTTGAGTAGAGGATGAAAGGCGCGGTCTAGTGATATCTTGACGTCGCGATTGAGTGGGCAGTTGATTGGTGATCGAGTGGCATGTGAACCTGTCGATCAAGTGGCACGTTGATGCTAGTGATCGAGTGGCCTCCAGAACATGTGATCGAGTAGTCTCTGAAGCTTCTGCGGTCTCTACTCGACCAGGGGATCGAGTATGAGGTTCGTTGGCGGACTGCTTCTCCTCTGTTGCTCATTCAGCTGGACCATGAGCATGTGATCAAGTGGTGGGTCGAGTATGAGGTGCTCCTGTTCTGATTCTCCCCAATTCGCACACCAACAGCTCCAAAGTACCTGAAAACAACTCCGATATGCAGTATATATCCAAGACTGATGTAAAACTGACCTAAACATGCAAAGTATGCACAAACGACGAAGAATGATATGAAACATTGATCGAAACAAGGCTAAAGTGATGATAAATGAATCCTCCATGGCAGCCACCCACTTCCTCGCTGTCGTTACTTGTCACGAGCACCACAAAAGCTTTGATTTTTGATAACTAAATTCCCTGATCTAGGGATTGATCTATCTTTAGAGAAACAGTTGTAATGGTGGCTTTCAAAGTAGTTTGTTCTGGTGGTAACGGTGGTTCACGGAGGTTGGATGCAGAAATTGAAGGCTCGAGACAGCGAATGAGTAACAATTCGAGCCAACGAAGGATCCTTTTCGTGCTCAAAAGGTTTCATTTTGTTCATCCAATTTCATCTTCTTATTTCTATGTTAGCCCCGTAATTGTATACACCATAGTTACGATGTGTAAATTCAAGTGCTGATTCATTGATTCTAAAATTGTTAAAAATCTAGAGCTAAATCTATGATTCGAAAGTTGGTATCAATCGCTTTTTAGTTTTAGGAGTTCGGATAAAAGTCGATATTAGGTAGGTCCTCCGGTATCATGGAATCGTTTTTAGTCTTGTTGAACATTGAAGACTTGTGCGCTTTAGGAAGCTGTGATGTTTGAAGAAATTATGTATTCACGTTGAGAACTAAGTTGCTTTTTTGTTTTTGGTTAGTCTGGAATCACAGAATGATTCGGCATTGGAGGGTAAAGTAAGTGATTTTAAGATTAGTGAACAAGAAATGGGAATGTACCAGAATGAAGTGGGTATAAGGATAAAGAGAAGACCACCCACTGATGAGAAGGGTGGAGCAGCATGTCTTAATGTTTTGACACATGAAAAATACTTCAAGGCAACACCGTAAAGAAGATGTTATTTCATCATTATTATTTTTTGCTATATCTCTTTACAGATCAAAAAGCAACGTTGAAACCAATAGAAGAGAGGCTCTTGACATTAGTAATAAAAAGGTTTAGAGTTTAGTGGATAAGTAAAGATGTGAGCTCATTTCACTGCACTTGTTTTCTTTAAGAGATAGAATAGTTTGAATGACGTATTTGGTGTTGTAGATCTTGTTTTCTTTAAAAGATAAAATCGTTAGATGTACTTTAAAACTTGGTATGTATGTTTCGGATCATTTATGCAATATACATAAATTATATAAATCCAATTGAATATATTAGGCAAAATAGGATTCAAATATATGAAATAAAATAGAGCTACAAAACACAAAATGATTATGCAAAAATAGAACTACTAAACATTATATTTGGCAAACAAAAATTGCTACAAAACAAATTAGTACAGCATTAAATTGTGCTACATAAACGAAAACTAGAATACAAATTATACGCTATGATATGTGAACATATAATAGCATAGTCGAAAACTGCTATCGTATGTGGCTATCCTAAGATAACTCCAGCAAACACAGCGTTTATGAATCCGCCATGTAAACGATATTATAGCGCTTTCGGTGTGTTAAGAATGCCAACATTTCTTGTAGAGTTTTCATGGCTCTTTTGTTGTCAACATAATTCTTCCTCTCTGTACGCATCAGCCAATTCCCATCTCAACTTCTTCATTAAAGACCGGTTATGTCGAACATTCAAACCTTCAAAATCAAGTTGCTGACGTAGCTGTTGGATACGTTCTTTAGAGTTCTGATTGGAAGAACGTTTCCAATGGGAAATTGATCTCCGGCAATTAGAGATTCTATTCATTAGCGTACCCTGCTCCAAACCAATATTTGCATACCAACCCGCCTTCATGATCTTCGAGAAATCTGGTTTATCTATTCACTGCTTATCAAACATAAATCTCCATGTTCTTGATATGTTTTCACTTACAAAGTTTGTAAAAATCGGCATGTGGTCAGAACCAATGCGCTCCAGATATTCGTGTAATGTTTAATTTTGTTTTCATTTTTTGATAAATCAATTATTTATTGTTGGCCAAAATAACCTTTTGTGCTTGTGGAAATAATGATTAGCCATCGAGGGTTTTGCCACTAAGAGCTTGTCGTGGAGGCCTTGCGTAGAGGGCCTGCCACAGAGGGATTTTGCAGAGGGCTTGCGCTCAGAACTTACTATGGCAAGACCAACGTTGGTCCCAACTGATGGGATGCCTTCATATTTTGGTTATACGATGAAAAGGTTTTGGTTATGTTTGAGTTTAGAGGGCATGGGGATCGCACGTTTGTTCAATATACTCAATCAATTGGGGGACACATGATGTTTCAATAACCGGAGCTCGCATCTAACCTTACATTGATAAAGCGTTGCAACCCGAGGCATGCTCTGCATGAATGGAAAGGATCTCGCTAGGCCCGAATTTGATAATGGCACCAACTGGTTTGTGTTTCTTTCAAGACTAATTGTTTGGAGTTAATCAAGATGCTCGATGGTCAATCCTCAATGCTCCCTCATATTGTTTAACTTTTTTTTTTTTTTTTTTGATAAATATATTGTTTAACTTTATCTACTGAATTAAGATGGTTTTACTACCTTACAATTCGTATCCTAACTATAATAATGTTCGTGCTAAGTGTTTCATTAAATAGGCAAGATCAATGTTTTCTTTTCTCTCATGTAAAGACTTAAAGTGCAAAAATGGCTACCTCACAAACCAAGATTATTCTCATGTAAACAAACACTTAAGATGTCAAAAGCAATTTCGTTTGTTCCCGCAATATTAAAAAACCTATATGAAGCAGTAGATGCAGAGTTATAAATTAGTGAGGATTCCCAATTTTTCATCTACCAAGAAAAGAGCTTCATATAACATGTATCCATCAAGTTTTACCAAAGCTTGACAACAACAATAACCAAAAATATATAATTATAAGAACAGCAATTTTACTCTATTTACTCTGCTTCAGCTTCTTCAACAGAAGTCTCGATTCGAAGAAGAACGAATCCAACTGCAACACCAACAAGAGTAAGAGCGTTCATGATTGCTGCAATCTTGAAAATCTCCCCCACAGCGTTACAAGTGGTGGATAAGGCTCCTCCATTGCCTCTTCTTCCTTTGACAGACATCACAACATTAGCAAAACACTGTTCTGTGCAGAGTGGTGATCCCATTGAGACAACCTTGTTGTTCTGTGCCTTAAGACCACCATATGAATTAAGTCCAGTTATGTAAGAAACTTTCATCTCAGTTTTCTTCTGGGTTTGTCCGGATTTGGACACAATGCCTGATCTTGTCCATGAGATCACTGCTGGTGCTGCTGCTGTCGCCATTTCTTGCTGGAAGGAAAAAAAACAAGATTCAGTGAATTAGGAGATTCAAGAAATGGAGATGATCGGAAGAGAGATTATGATTGATACCTGTGGATGAGTTTGAAGGATGCAAGAGAAGTGAAGCGACTCAAAGAAAGTAGAAGCAAAAGAAGAGAAGATTGTTTTTAAGGAAGGAGGAGATTTTGGATAAGGAGGGTGTGGCTGCCACAGCCAATTACGGCCAGAGATGGATTTACTTCTTTTTATCAAATATCTGTGAACACACGTTTCTCATCGCTTTACTCATTTTTTCTTTAGTTTGTTTTAATCCTCTTTAAGTTTCCACTGTTTCATTTCCCTTTTTATTTTTTTCACCGCTCGTTTAAATTACCATTAAGTTACTATTTTTTTTGCAAAAGATGCACAGAAATATTTACTATTTAGTTTTATGAAAAATTATATTTAAGGTAAAATTAATATATTTTTTAGTTTATTAAAAAATTAATTTATTTAAAGATTTAGAGTAGTTTTGTTTTGTTTCGTGATATATTATAGGCACAAACTAGAATTATAGTTAGAATATTATTTAAAGTATTAAATCTTTAGTTTAATTGGTCTAAATGTGTAATTATGAGTGAAAAGTTTTATTTTGTGATTATAATTAGGCTGTTCGTTTCGTCGCCGCAGCTACTTGCAGCTGCGGCGGCCGCAGCTACTTGCAGCTGCGGCGGCCGCAGCTATATATGTTCGTTTAGTTGCCGCAGGTAGCTGCGGCGGGGAAAATTTTTGGACGCCGATTAAATTCAGCGTCGACAATCAAAGAGCTGCGATTAATGTGACAAATGACCAAAATACCCTTCATATGTTTAGGAAACCACAATAAAACCTAACCCTAAATAGCAAATCCAGCGTTACACGATTTCGATCTGAAACCTAAATCTTCTTCTCTTTTAAACGATTTCGAGCTTGTTCCTGATTCAGCTTCAGGTTTGTACCTATCAGATTCTACGAGTTGGGTTCTCTTCTCTTGAATCTTCTCTTCTCTTTTGATCTTATGTTTTTGGGTTTTTGTTTTGAAGGTCTCTGTACTATGATTTATAGTTTTATCGCTTGTTTACCACTTGTTCCAATCAGGTTTGCCTTCTCTCTACTTCTTCTCTTTTGTTTATCTCTGTATGAATTTACCAATGTAGCTTTTGAAGTTCTCTGTATGAATGATTTGATTTTCTAGAGTATAAGATCTGTGATTCAATCTAGAAACACTTCATAATTGTGCTAGCTGCTACATCGGATTTCGAATTCACAACCATTGTTTGGTTTAGGGATATACAATGGTTTCAAACCCACATACGCTTACTAGAATCTGTGAAGTCTGATTAGGGAGGAACAAGACTCGAAATTTGGATAAGCACTTAATTTCTGTAGTAAAAGAATTGAAAGGATGCATCATAGATCTTACTGTTTGATGAAACCTTTCTTACTTGCTATTTCATTGAGATGTTTTTGTCTCTGGTTAGTCTATTTTTTGGGAATTCTTATGCGCTTGCTTTTTTTATTGAATCATTATTCTGTCCATTTTAAACCAGAGTCATCAAAGAGACATTCATTTTGAAAGTGTTGAATTTGGTAAGAACTAGTGATTAAAAACTGCTCTAAGTGCTCTTGACGTTAGTCATTCTAACTATACCAAAAATACATAACAAGCATAGAGCTAAGCTTTGATTATGTTGTAACTTACTTGATATCTAATGTCATTGCAGGTATCGAACGGGAGATTACATCTCTTCAGCTAGAAGTAAGTTTAACCAAACTGTGAGCTTCTCTTAGTTATATTCTTTACTAACATTAAGTTACATTTAGGAGAAGAGACTAGTTACACAAATTAAGACCTATACCTGTTGAAGTTTCTGCGGATCTTCTTGTTTGCCATAAAGTCTTTGCCATTGGAAATCCTGTGAGTGTATATATTCTTCTTGTTTGCTTGCAGGTCGTTGCACTTCTTTAGGGTCATGAGGATTTAGTCATGGAGTTTGCAGACGTTTTCAAGAGACCCACTGTTTCATCAAGGTCAAAATCTGGTAGAGATAGATGAGTACATTAGAAGACTGTCTCTGCTTTAGTATAGGATGCTTGGAATATAATGTTTGAAGTATGAGTCCCTTGAAGTATAGGAGACAAAAAGAGTAGTTCTTTCTAACGAGAAGTGAGTGTATAGTTTCATTTGTAGACGTTTGAGATTAGTTTGACTTTTACTTTATAGAGAACAGAACATCATGCATATGCTTCTATATTTGAGATCAATGAGATGTACAATGGTTTGGGTATATAAGAGACTAAAACGAGAGTGTAATTTCTTTTGTTAAATCTAACCAAGAAGGCAGAGAGGAACAGAGCCTTTACTCAAACCTATATATGGCCAAAAAGTAAAGAGCAAAACAAAACAAAAATCAAGTAAATCTAATAACAATTTTTTTTTATAATTAGTAGTCAATCGGATTATTCAAGTAAATCTTTACAATATATATTTACAATAAATCTTATATTAAAAATATTTATTTAATTTTTTTAATCGGTATCTTTATTAAAAGTTTAGTTGATCATGATACAAGAGATCCGTACATTCCAAAAAGACATTTGAAAGACTACAACCTTGTTTCGCCAACATATGAGCGACAATATTACACGAACGGTTTGTATGAAGGAAGAAGATCTCCCCAAAACGCAGTGCTCAATGATGAATGTCTTGGCTTAAACCAGTGATTGAAACATCCATTGAAAGATCATTAACGAAAGTCTCCAAAGGAACCTCAAAGAGACACTAGTAGATGGCTCAACAACATAATATCATCTACATAGCAAACATCCATAACGACTACATCCCTTAATGCGACAACGAACAAGTAAGAGGAACCACCATAAAGGAAAGGCAAATATCCAAATTTTAAACCCAAAATAAGCCACATATGGACTAGTGAGACATGTAGTTCATATTAGAACTCTATCAAACCTCACAAACTACAACAAAAACCTACAACTAGCAAATCTTATCCTATTGATATATCACAGACACTACAAGAAAACAGTCGATTTGCGAGGAAATTTTGCGAGAAAAAATATCCCTCACAATTTTGCAATGGATATGCGAGGAATTTGCGAGGCGCGTCCTCTATGTCGCTAATCCCACGCAATTTTGCGAAAGAAAACTCCGTCGCAAATTTGCGAGAGGTTTGCGAGGAATCTGCTATGACGGATATACCCCTCGCAAGTCAGTCGCAAATTTGCGAGGGATTAGCAACGCTCTGATCCAAAGCAAAATTTGCGATGGATTTACGAGTAACTCTTGAGTTAGGTGAGGACATTTAAAATGAACGTAACTACTTTGTTGGTAGGTGAAAATCTCTAGCAAAATCCTAGTGAATCTATCATTCCTAGCTATTCTCTTGAAAATATAGCTAGCAATTCCATAGCAAAAAAAATTATGTGCCTATAAATAGCAAACATAAGAGATGCCAAAATCATAACTCAAAACAAAAAAACAATTTACTTACAAAAAAAAATCCTTCAAAAAAAAAAACACTTCAAATGGCTAGTTTGGTAGAAAAGGGGGTGCGGCTCGGCAAGTAACTTGTGAATCGGAATATATTCACCGAGACTCGATCGAACTGATGCGCATGCTACCTGTCTTTCAAACGGTTGTGAAAAAAATATGTCTCTGGGTGGAGAGCATGAGATATACACACTACGAAGATGAATGTACAATCATAGAGATCCGACGACCGATGAAGTGACGAGAGTTTACTAATGGCTTGCGCAGTTTCATGTACTAAGCGACAAACGAATCATTTGCTCATGCGAATGGTTCAATATTCTGCCCATGTCGTAAGTGCCTCAACGAGAAATATCTAGACTTTAATCTAGTGAAGAAGCATCTATATAATAGAGGGTTTATGCCAAACTACTATGTATGGTTACGTCATGGGGAAGGTTGTAGACATAGCGCAGGAAGTAGTAATATGAATTATGGTGTCGATCAACCTAGTAATTATTATGCGAATTATGGTCATCATCAAGAATCTGATCAATTTGGTTATGGGTATAACCAGGAAAATATATTTCATAATATGGTTACTGATGCATTTCATGAAACTACTGCTGTATTTGCTGAAAATATTATCGAAGAACCCAACATATATGCACAACGCTTTTATGATATGTTAGATGCTGCTAATCAACCCATCTACGAGGGATGTAGAGAAGGGCAATCTAAGTTATCTTTGGCATCTAGGATGATGACAATGAAAGCTGATAATAACTTAAGTGAAAATTGTATGGATTCATGGGCTGAACTTTTTAAAGAGTATTTACCACCGGATAATATATCGGCTGAGAGTTACTATGAAATACAGAAGTTAGTTCCCAGTCTTGGGTTACCATCAGAAATGATTGATGTATGCATTGACTATTGCATGATTTTCTGGAGAGATGATAAAAATCTGCAGGAATGTCGGTTTTGCGGGAAGCCGAGATATCAGCCTCCTGGGGGAAGGACGCGAGTACCATTTAAACGTATGTGGTACTTGCCAATAACTGATAGAATGAAACGCTTATACCAATCGGAAAGAAATGCAGCGAAGATGAGATGGTATGCTGAACAATCAACTACAAATGGAGAAATTACTCACCCCTCGGATGCAAAGGCGTGGAAACACTTTCAAACGGTATATTCTGACTTTGCTAACGAGTGTAGAAATTTGTATCTTGGCTTATGTACAAATGGATTTAGTCCATTTGGAATGTCTGGGAGGCAATATTCTCTATGGTCGGTTATCCTGACGCCATACAATCTTCCTCCGGATATGTGTATGCAAAGCGAATTTCTGTTCCTAAGTATTCTAGTACCGGGCCCAAAGCATCCGAAGCGAGCGCTCGATGTCTTCTTGCAACCGCTGATTCATGAGCTGAAGAATTTTTGGTCTGAAGGTGTCCAGACGTTTGATTACTCGAGCAAACATATTGCTAATTTTGATTTCCATATCGATCCTCATTCCAATATTTTCTGTCTAGGTTTGGCCAAGATGTGGAAATTGCTGCTACTGTCCGCAACATTTTTGAAAGAGATTTCAAAGAGCCTCATGCCAATTGGACACAGACGCCGAGTAAAATAGTAGAACGGTAGTTTGAAACTTTTGCGGTAAGTCAAATATGCTTTGCTGTCTTTTCTCTCTATCTGGTTTGAGACACTGAAATCTTGCTCAACTGAAAATGTTTTTGTTAGGTTTTAATCTCTATAATTCATGTTGTATTGAGCATTTTAATGGCTTAGATAAAAGTTGTTCTTTGTTTAACTAGATCTGTTCTTCAGTTCTATCCTCATTTCTAACTACTTATTTTTGTTTTTTCTTTAAGCAAACATATAACTGGGACCAATCTATAAATGCAAGCGTTAGAAATGAGTTTGAAAAAAAGTTGAAGAGTAGGATGTATGATCAAGTGTGTCGCTGGAAGGGAAAGTAGAAGCCAAAAGGTGATGATACAAAGCCGAAGTGGATTGATCCTCATTTATGGGTTGCACTTGTTAGGTATTGGCTTGATCCCAAAACAGAAGCAAAGAGTATCAACAGTCGTAACGCTCGATATCATGATCCTGATGGCACCGGCATTCATATACACCGCTCAGGCCATACATCTTTTAAAGCACGTGCTCGGAAACATGTAAGTTTATGATGTTACATGTTCAGATAAATACCTTATGAACATTTTAATTGACTGCTCACCTCGCTTTTGAGACTCATAGAAATCCTGATGGTACTTTTATCGATGGAAAGTTGGAGTCCATCTACAATGAAGTCTCTTCGAGGATTCAAGAGATGGTATCTGAGCTTTGTGCAGAGGATAATATGGAGAGTTGTGCTTCTGGTGGGTTGTCTATTCATACAAAGAACAAGATTTACACAGAGGTAAATTTTAAAGTTATGACGATGCTTTAAAACTTCTTATGAGCCATGTTTATGTGTTGATCTATGTGTGTCTTTGCTGTGTGTAAGGAAAAAAAGGTGTAGGTACTTTGTTTGTGTTGTTGTGTCTGTCCTAAGATGCCAATTTAGTCTGATTATATACTTAGTTGATTCTGGTTTTAGCTTTTGTTAGCTGCTGATGATGATGATGATTATCTAAGTAGTCTTGTTGAATGAATAAATGTTTATGCTAATTGTTTCACAGATTTATTGTTGATCCAAATAGTATCATTGCATTATGCTAGTTTCTTCACAATTGATGCTAATTGGCAGTTTTATTATTGTAATTGCTTCACAGATTTAAAGTTTGATTGTGTTGATGCAAAGCTTACGCTTTGATTGTTTTGTTGGCAGGTTGCTCGGAGGAAGAAAAATAGGATTTATGGCGTTGGTTCTTTGCAGCAGGAAGCTGCCTCTGCCCATACCGGTCCACCGCCTCCTCCGACTGAAGATCCTGTTATTCTTGCGTAGAAGCTTGCTGTCGCTGAAGCAAGTCTTCAACCTCAGGCCACTCAAATACAAGGAAGTCAAGCAAGTCCTCAAGCTCAGGCGACGGAGTTAAAACAAAGTAAAGAGAAGATGCATAGCTATGATGCTTACTTCGAGTACCTTGCCAAGAAGGATCATGCATTTGCTGTTTTATTTCGAGCCGATAACCGGAGAAGCACCAACCCAGCATATCCAGTCACCACCACCGAGACTACACCTCTGACGAGAAACAAGACCGGTAACGGTACCGCAACTGCAACTGTATCCTCTCTATCAAAATTCTTTTAGTTGTTGTAGAAACTTTTCGCCCTAGGTTTCTAATGTTTTAAGACAATGTTTTTTTTTTGTAATCAACTCATTTCAATTTCAGTTTGAAGACTTGTTTAATTTTCAATTCAGGTTTTAGATTATTTTTCAGAAAAATTTCAAATTCAAAAGTAATTGAAATGAATTATTTGAAAACGAAACAGGTGACAAGCCTAGCAAGTTCGTCGCAAAATTGCTACTAGTTTGCGAGGAACACCGGTCCAAATGTCCACTCAGAAAATGCTACTGTTCATGTATGTGCGACGAAAAAAATGTTGCAAAAGTCTCGCAATATTTGCGAGGGATATACTACGACATAATTTGCAAGTTGTTTGCAAGAGGAATAGTGCGTCGCAATTTCTATGCCACTTTGCGAGACGCGTATTGCGACAAATTGACAGTCGTCGCAAATCCCTTGCGATTGTCGATTTGCGAGGGATTAGCTATAAATCCTTCCATCGCAAAACGCGTGTTTTCTTGTATTGGGATTTTACCGATTTTAACCGTGATATATGTGTAAGTTTTAGAGTCTTTTTGTTATTTCTAGAGTCTTTTTGAGTGTTTTCAGGTTTTTAAACGTTCGGGACACATTTGGAGATAAGTAACCATTCTGGAGCTAAACCGGAGATTTAGAGCTGAAGAAACAAATTCAGTATCAGACCAAACCATGAGTGTCGACCGACACCCAGTGGTGTCGATCGACACATAGTGGTGTCGATCGACACCACACAAGGCCCAGCAAAAGTCTCGACTATTTAGAGTTTTAAAGCCCGAAGAATTAACCCTGAAGATTTCTATATTTACAACTTTGGTCCCTGCACGTTTTTGGAGACATTATTAAGAATTTAGGGTTTTTGTATTTCATTATCTTAGATCTTGCTTTTTGCTTTTGACTTTGTAATTCTCTGAGCTTGAACCCTTTGGAAGAGAATTGGAGAGAGCAACTTTTCAGAGATTTCAAAACCTTGTAGAGAGAAGATTTATTCTAAACTCTTTTCTTCTTTTGATTTCTTATTTTGCAATCTATTCAAACATGTTTTTTGTTTCATTAATCATGTCTGAGTAATCACTTTGTTAGGTTTAGAGATTCTCATTAGGAATTTAGATGAATTAGTAAATCGATTTCCTGTTAGGATTAATTTTTAGAGTTCTTCACCTTAGGTTGTTCTTAATGCTAGTTCTAAAGTAGCTAACTAGAACTTGATCATAGGTTAATAGGTTTTGATCTGAGAGGGCGCCTGTTACTCGAACTATCTTAGGTGGGCAGAGATTTCCAGATTCATACAAGAGATGGTCTAGAAATATCTGTGAACATATCAAACCTGCTTTTAATGCTAGTCTAGATCTAGGAGTTTGCATACGAGAGTTGGAACTTCCTGATACTAGGTTTAGTTAGTCAATGCGAGCGAGAGCTGGTTGGCTATAAATTAGTGATTTTAGTTCTAGAACGGTTCGATAATAATCCTAATTAATTTGCTAGATTTACTATTAGTTTATTTCCTGAAAACTTCCCTAAACCTGACGCTTTAATCCTATTAAGTTTTCACCTGATTTAATTGCTTGTTTTATTTTAAATTTGCTTAATATTTTATTTAGCCTAATTTCGAGACTGTTAGCTTATTGTGTGAACAAAAGAAATTTGTAGAATTCGACCCTTAAGTGCTGCAATTGATCTCTTATTTGAGAGAGCAGTTTTAGGTTCATTTTGATCCATATCACTATGCACCACACATCGAGGAGAAATGACATGAAATGAAGAATCCGGGGCGAGACGATTACCGGCTTGATCGTAACTAAGAAAACATGATATAGATCTAGAATTAAATTTGAGACCCTAGCCGTGTTCAGAGCTATCACACTTGTCGACTCATCTCTTGATTTGCCTACTAAACCGAGACCAACTTCTGAACCAGATCTGGAAGTTAAACCGATCTCCGCTCAGCTTCATCAACATCATCCCTACAATCGCAATACAACAAAAGAAAAAAAAGAAAAAAAAATCTAAAGAAAAAAAATAAAACCTCACCATGCACCGGTCCTAAAAGATCTAGCGTACACCGGTCGCAAACAAAAAAATCAGATGATAAGAGAAAGTGAGAGAAAACAAAGGGAAAACAGATAAGGAAAAAGAGATCAATTATGCTCATACTTTATGCAATTTCTCTCTCAATTGGAGAAAAATGAGAAAAAGATGAATCTTTACCACATGGACCAATCAAAAAAGGAGTGTTGTCACACCCGTCTCTCTCAACCTTGAGACGGCGCATTTTCGCCTTACTTATCTTGTCCTTAAATCCACTTACTCAAATTAACAATTCATATTCCGGGAAACTTTTCTTTATTAAAACTTCAATAATAATTTGTCTTAAAAATAATATCAAAATAGTTGAAAAACCTTAAGATAAAACATAATTGAAACAAGTCTAAAAATATAATAAAATAACGCTGAAATTCAATAACCAGAGTTTTCCCGAAATATACCACAAACGAGACACCTACTCAACATTCTCACCCTCACCTGGGGAAAAAGGAAAAAGAAAGGGGGTGAGTAATTAATTACTCAATGAGACGGTCAACAACTGCCCACCGAAACACAACATCACAATTATACTTTCACACAACTTCCATTCATGAGCATAGAATCAAACAACAAGCATATAGCCTACACTTCCGTAGCAAGCTATAACAATCAAGTATTCGTCTCTCACCGCAAGATATTTACTTTCATTTTTAGTCTTTACGTATCTTAACTTGTGGCTACTCAAGCCTCTTTAACTCATGGCTACTCAAGCCTATTTATGGAAGACCACGGCTCGTAACTCGATCCTTACCCTTATTGCTCGTCAGCGGTTAATGACCTGTAATGAAACCGTCGGCTCCATTACAGTCCAATATTCTCAACTTCATCTTCTCTTTTATTCTCATTTAAATTATTATCTTTAAATATCTTTCACATTTATTTTAAAGTACGTCTTAAAGACGTCAAGCAAATCAACATGCATTTATTTTATCATATAATTCCTAACATTTTAACAATCAGCACCCAACGTCTAATCCTATACAAATGAACTTTAGAAGTACAAGAGTAGAAAGGTGATACTATGTTTCCACAGATCCCGCCCTCACCTTAGCAATTCGGTTGGATAACACGGTTTAGGAATAGCGGCAGCGGGAATCGATCCAACAACGATCTCAATCTGCGACGGTTTAGATAACCGATTTAAAGATTATTTTCTATTAATAATCTATATTTAATTCGATAATATCCAAACTTAATTCTAAACCTTGATTAAGAGTTTTTGGTATATTTTCTTTGATTAAATTATTAGATCTGATTAGTATTCCACTCAACCAAATCTAATCAATTTAATAAAGGGAAAGTTACTCAGATGTTATACAAATTATGTGTAATGTCCAAAAACATACAGATCTTTTTTTTATTACTATCATATTTCGGATGTATTTTATATACCCAGCGTGCCCCTGTTAAACGTTACAGAAAAAAACGTAATTACAAAGAATGCTACTGCCACGTCAGCAAAGCCGCGTCGCCACGTCAGAAATCGCTGACGTGTATTAATGAACTCAACCGTAAAGCGATACTGCGGTAGTGACGGCTGAGTTACGTATGTTGCGGCTGATTTAAGGAAAATGGCTGAGTTGTGAGCAAACGGCTGACTTACGAGTATAACCCAGCCTGGAGTTACGGCTGACTTACTGAAATCTGTCTGAGTTATGAGAAAATGGCTAACTTCCGAGCATAACCCAGCCTAAGTTACGGCTGAATTTTCACCCGATGGTTGATTTGTCAAAATTTTGGCTGAGTTATTTGTTCGACACGGCTGACTTAACTTTCTCCGGCTAGTTGAGTTATCAAAGACGGCTTAGTTGTGGGATGACGTTACGGCTGATTTATGTTCGAGTGTCATGAATCAGCCGTAATGAACTGGATTAACGAAAAACTCGGCCTAATTACGGCTGACTTAGTAGCGAAAGATTAATTACTAGAATAGCATGCAATGACGGCCGACTTATTAAACGACACGGCTGAGTTAAAGCTTTTTGGTTGAGTTACGACATTAAACGGCTGAATTTGGCTGCCGTTTTTTCGTTTTTTAATTACTGTAATAGTATTCATGTTGCGACTGAGTTAAAGTTTTGTTTGATGGCTGGTTTAATTAGGCTGATTTACATTTTCGTTTGGTGGATTACTTGCCACTTCATCAATTAAAAAATGACGTCGGATGCAACATTCCATATCATCATTCCATGTCATCAACATCAAGGGAAATACGAAAGGTCTTTTTTCGACTCGTCTTCTTCTTCATCGTGTCGATCTTCACCTGTGTTTTTCACATCACCAGAACTTAAATTTCACTCGACTCGTCATCGTCTTACTCCTTCTTCTTTATTTTCGTTCATCCTTATCCCGATATGACTGATCCGGTTCCGGTAATTGTTGTTTCCGGTAGTTGGGTAAAGAAACAAAAATATGTATTTAACACCGACGATAGAGGGTGTAAAGTTGTGCAGATAGATACGGAAACAACGTACGACAAGCTTGTGAAGTTGGTGCTTGATGACTATGGATTGAAGGAGTTGAGCCATCAGTTAAAGCTGAGCTACGCATGTTCTCGATGTAAACAAGTTGGGCATAATGCTAAAACTTGTCCGATGTAGTATTGTTTGCGGTAATTTTCTTTTCGGATAATGGCGAACATGACTGTTGGTTTATGTATTTTATGTCTATTCGTGACAAATCAGCCATAATGTTATCCTAACTCAGCCGCAATGCTCCAATAAATCAGCTGTGAAACACTATAACTCAGCCGTAATATATAAAAAAACTGGAAATAATAATTAATAAAAGAAAAATTAGAAAATAAATTAATTAGCAAACTGAAAATAACAGTTAATGATAGTATTAAATTTTATCATTTAGTTCATTGAAGATAAGTCAGCCGTGAAGCATTATAAATCAGCCGTAATATGTAAATTTACGCAACCTTTCATCTTCCGTGAAGCATTATAACTCAGCCGTGACATGTAAATTTACGCAACC